CATAAAAAACCAGAAAACTGTGGAGCCGTAATTTTTTAAAATATATATATATTCAATTTTATAAGGATAGAGAAGTACAGAAAGGGAAAAGGGGGAGGGGATAGATAGATAGATAGATAGATAGATAGATAGATAGATAGATAGATAAGAAATTTAAAAGACCTATAAAGATTATCAAATCCTACAAAGTAATAATAATAATAATAATAATAATAATAATAATAATAATAATATATTTGTACCCTGCCAATCTGGCTGGATTTCCCCAGCCACTCTGGATGGCTTACAAAAAAATGAAATAAAAATACATTAAAATGCAGAACCTGGTTCCTTGTTGCTTTGCTTCTCACAGTGAGGGAACCACCAGAAGGCCCTTGGTGCTGGACATCAGTGTCTGGGCAGAACGATGGGGGTGGAGACGCTCCTTCAGGTCTACTGGGCTGAGGCCGTTTAGGGCTTTCAAGGTCAGCACCAACACTTTGAATTGTGCTCGGAAATGTACTGGGAGCCAATGGAAGTCTTTCAGGACATGTGTTATATGGTCCCAGTGGCCACTCCCAGTCACCAGACTAGCTGCCGCATTCTGGATTAGTTGTAGTTTCTGGATCACCTTCAAAGGTAGCCCCACATAGAGCACATTGCAGTAGTCCAAGCGGGAGATAACTAGAGCATGCACCACTCTGGTGAGACAGTCTCCGGGCAGGTAGGGTCTCAGCCTGCGTACCAGATGGAGATGGTAGACAGCTGCCCTGGATACAGAATTGACCTGTGCCTCCATGGACATCTGTGAGTCCAAAATGACTCCCAGGCTGCGCACCTGGTCCTTCAGGGGCACAGTTACCCCATGCAGGACCAGGGAGTCCTTCACACCAGCCCAGCCCCTGTCCCCCAAGAACAGTACTTCCATATTGTCAGGATTCAACCTCAATCCATTAGCTGCCATCCATCCTCCAACCGCCTCCAAGCACTCACACAGGACCACATCCTCGGGGGTAACAGATTAAAATTGATTCCATGCAACTTGACCAGTCAGGTCTCTAGCACTCTCCCGCCCCGGCCCTGCTCCCACGGTGGTGTCTACCTCCTTCCGAATATGAGCGACTTTATCTGCAAAAAAAATTGCAAAATCGTTGCAGGAGATCTTGGGGTCTTTACAAGGCCCCGGTGGTAAAGGTGGTTCCGTTAAATTGCAAACCACCTGAAAGAGTCTCCTGCTACTATTTTCTTCAGATGCAATAGAGGCGGTGAAGAAAGTCTTCTTCACCGTCGCTATCGCCACTTGGTAGGCTCGACGTTGAGCTCTAACCTGTGTCCGGTCCAATTCAGAATGAGTTTTCTGCCACCGGCACTCTAGCCGTCTCAGCGATTGTTTCCTCTCCCTCAGCTCCAAAGAAAAACATGGGGCTGTCTGGGCTCCATGCAATCAGAGAGGGCGCTTTGGAGCCAGACAGTTGATAGCCCTGGTTAACTCCACATTCCAGCGGGCCACCAGGGAATCAGCTGAAAGGCCATCAACATGGGATATAGCATCCCCTACCATTCTCTGGAAACCATTTGGATCCATTAAGTGGCGGGGGCGAACCATCCGAATTGGTCCCACCTCCCTGCAGAGGAGAAGGGTCACAGAGAAGTCCAGTTGCACCAGGAAGTGATCTGACCATGGCACTTCTTTTGTTCCACTTTTACCTAGTGTCAGATCACCCACGTCACTAGAGGTGAACACCAGGTCTAAGGCATGTCCGTGACTATGAGTTGGGCCAAACTTATTCAGGGACAGCCCCATGGAGGCCATGCTTTCCACGAAGTCCCAAGCAGCCCCTTGTAAGGTCGTGTTGGCATGGATGTTAAAATCCCCTAGGACAACCAAACTAGGTGTCTCCAGGAGAACATCCACCATGACCTGAAGCAGCTCGGGCAGGGAATCCTTGGTGCAGTGGGGAGGTCAGTACACCAAAAGGAATCCTGTACTGCCCCTATTGCCCAGCTTCCAGAACATGCACTCAGAGAACTGGGTCTTCCCAGTAGGACGCCTGATGCAAGCTAGTGACTTTCTAAAAATCACTGCAACCCCCCCCCCTGCCCACATGACCTGGGTTGCTGTGTGTAAGAGAAACCTAGTGGACAAGCAGCAGCTAGGACAGGACCATCTGCTTCATCCAACCAAGTCTCTGTTACACATGCCAGGACAAATCCTCCATCCACGATCAAGTCATGGATGGCAGTGGTCTTATGAATCATTGACCTAGCATTGCACAGCAACACCTTCAGGTCATGTGGGTTTCCCTTGTTGAGCGCAAATATAACATTGAATCACAATGGTACAAAATAACTCAGCAAGCTGACATTTATCAAGAGTTAAGCAAAGGTTAGTGTACTAAATATTATTTCCAATTCTAGGTAGTTTGCTATTGGAGAAATACCATATATGATTATAAAAATCTAAAGCAAGAATTATTTTAAAATATGATTTCAATTCTAGATCAGACAGACAAGATTTCTTCTACTATATATTTCTTTCTTTATCATATACACACAAAGCTTCTATTTTTAAACAGGAAATATTTTTGTAACTAAGGTCTATTATACAAATCCATACAGATGTTCATTTTCTTACAGTTCTGTTAAGTTGTATACAAATTATAAAGATGAGTCAATTATTTACTAAATTGGCGAGTTTTGCCATTATTGCATATTCTGATAGTTTCTCTTTTCATGCATCTATTTCAGGACATATGTCAGATTTCCATATGTTAGCCAACACCACTTTAACTGCTATGGTCATATAACTAAATAGTTCCACTGACGATTTCATAATACAGTAGCTGAAGGAGTCATCCCCAGCAGCATAGTGTTGGGGTCCAATGCAAATTTAGGTGTGTTTTTTTTACATTTTTACATTTTGAAATGAACTTTCCTCCAAAACTTTTTGGTCTTTTCACAAGTGCACCATAAATGGAAGAAGATTCCTTAAGGTCTATCACATTTCCAGCAATGTCCATTCATTGCATTATTCATCTTCTGTATATTTTTCTAAGTTATATACCACTGAAAGAACATTTTTGTACACTCATACCTCAGGTTACAACCGCTTCAGGTTACATGCTTTTGGGTTGCGGACGGCGGGAAACCTGGAAGTACCGGAACGGGTTACTTCCGGGTTCCGCCACTTGCACATGCGCAGAAGCGCCAAATTGCCCTGTGCAGACGTGGTGCTTCAGGATGCGAACGCTGTAGGTTGCGGACGTGCCTCAGTCATGGGTTATGTCTGCAACCCGAGGTTCCACTGTACCAATTTTGTTTTAGGGCTTAACTTGCAGTAAATTTTATTCCTTTATTCATAATTGTTCTCATTGTTCCACTATAAACTGTTCTTAAATTTTTTGCATCCATTTTGTCATATAAGGTTTTGGTTGTTCGGGCTCGGTGTCATATTTGAGTAATAGTTTATAAATTTTACCCAAAAGGTAGAACTCTGTTATGATGGACTCAAATTCAGTCTTTTCACTGATGTCTATGGTGTGTGATTTGACGGTGAGTTTGGGGAACCCCAATGTGAAAAGAGTGAGGATCCATGAGGATCCGTGCTTCAAAACCACGTTTTTGAGCCATGGAGTGGCCAGGAATCCGTGGGTCCGAGTTTTTTTGTGGTGCAGGCTGTGCCCCTGGCTATGACGTGTGATTTGACGGTGAGTTTGGGGTGGCCCAATGCAAAAAGCGTGAGGATCCAGAAGGATCCGTGCTTCAAAACCACGTTTTTGGGCTACGGTGTCGCCAGGAAGCCGTGGATTCGTGATTTTTGTGGTGGATACTGTGCCCATGGCCATGATATTTGATCTGATGGTGGCTTTGGCCTGATCTAATGCAAAAATCATGAGGATCCATCAGGATCCGTGTTTTTTAACCATGTTTTTGCTCCATTTCGGCAGCACGAAACAGTGGATGCGTGATTTTTTTGGTTCTGCTTACAGACTAAAAAGCGGTCTACAGTATCATGGTGTTTTTATTTTGTTTCACTATAAAAATCATATGAATTCATGAGGATCCATGCCTCAAATCCATGTTTTTGTGGTGCTGCATCCACGTTTTTGATAGTCCAGTCTGTAGGCGTGCCTTCCAGGTGTGATTTGACACTGCATTTGTTGGAGTTATTTTTTAAAAAGTGGAGGATCCATGAGGATCCGTGTAGATCCGCCTTTAACCCAGACCCAAGTGCACAATTATCAAGAACTGAATCCTACACAGGAGTAGACCCACCGGTTAGGCATTAGTGGGTCTGCTCTGGAGGAGGCTCTGAAAAATGGGACGAGAGCATGCAAACAGAGTCAATATTTTAATTAATATTGGTTTATTAATTGGTTTATTAATTACAAGCAGACAGCAAAGAACCTGCACAAACAATGCTGACACCAAACCCTACGTATAGTAAGTAAAATAGAAAAATCGCCACCCGACCCCCCCATCTCCCCCCCACCTCTTTCCCCTCTTTGTAAATCAACAAAATCTTTAACAAATAAATAAATAACTACTAGTCATAAAAAAGGGCCCCCTCACCTGAAGGACATCAAAGCCCACCTGAAGTCCCAAAACAAAACTATCAAAACCATGATCCACGCAGATCCATGCGTGTATGGAGCGATCTGCGTTGATCTGGATCTGATAGTTTACGACTCCCTGTTGTAGGGTATAACATGTATAATAGTATGTTTTGGGACTTCAGGTGGACTTTGATGTCCTTCAGGTGAGCTTTGGGGCGTACGGCTTTCCTCCATCTCCACTGCGCAGGATTCCTCTGGAATTACAAGATCTTTTGCACAGCTTTCCTCCATCTCCACTGTGGAGGATTTCTCTTGAATTACCAGATCCAGCAGAGAACCACACTTCGAACAAGTAGTAAGACTCTCGCTTTTCACCGCGCTTCCTGGGGTAATCACCACTACAGTTTCTATTAGAGATGTATCTGTTGTGGTGGTCCTGATGCAACATCTCTCAATCCCAACCAATGCTGCACTCAGCAGCTGGAAACCTGCAGCGATATAGCCTAGATAAATAGAAGGTCCAATATGCTGCTCGCTGGGAATTTGAGGCAATTCAAAAGTTTCAGGGAAGTCAATTTCCCCATTTTGCAAGACAGCAGATGTGTTCCATACCACAGAAATCAGGACGAGTATCCCTGCAACTAAGTTCAGGAAAGCTGCAAGCCTAAAAAAGCGAAAGAGAAAATCCTTATGTTTTCTGGGCTTGAACACATTGTACAAGGCAAAAGAAATTAATCCCAGGGCCACTGAATTCATAATTGAAGCTAGTGCCATTAAATCCTGTGCAATAAAAATTTCCTTCGGGAGGGTTGGATGCTGCTCATCGAGGTCTTCGCAATGCCAAAAAGAGTTTCCGTCATTAGAAGGGTCTTTCCAAAAGCAGACATCCCAGATTCCAATCCAGATGTTTCCAGAGCCGATTCCCTCGATGTTTTCCACACTCCACACTCGCCAGTTGACACTGAGTGTTGACAAAATGCACATTGACAAGGCCAAAATATCCACCAGGAATGCAGATATCTGGAGGCCGGAAACTAAGCTCAGCCATTGGACCACCAGGGAGCCTTCTTTCACCCACATGGGGGGTTTGGAGAGGAGGTGAGCAGGGGAGACATTGGCAGACATCCTGGAAACAAAAGAGAAGACAAGATGCAGTGAGAGAGGGAATAACAAGCATGTCTAGTCATTGAAGGACATCCTCCCTCCTGCATTCTTCCTTCCATGCACAGAAAGAAGCAGCAAAAGAAAAGAGTTCCTGCTCTCTCCCACCCCCTGGTTAGGTAGAGACATCTGATCCAGAGAAGCCGACACTCATACTTTCTTCCAGCACACTGCTACTGATTTAATCTACTGTTGCATTGTTCCTGGGAAAATGGCCAGAACCTCAGCAAGCTGTTGTGGATGGGAAGCTGCTCATGATTTTCGCTGTTTTGTGGGTTAAACCACAGAGCCTAGGACTTGCCCGATCAGAAGGTTGGTGGTTTGAATCCCCATGACGGGGTGAGCTCCCGTTGCTCGGTCCCTGCTCCTGCCAACCTAGCAGTTCGAAAGCACGTCAAAGTGCAAGTAGATAAATAGGTACCACTCCGTCGGGAAGGTAAACGGCGTTTCTGTGCAGTGCTCTGGTTTGCCAGAAGCAGCTTAATAATGACCCAGAAGCTGTATGCCGGCTCCCTCGGCCAATAAATCAAGATGAGTGCCGCAACCCCAGAGTCAGTCACGACTGGAGCTAATGGTCAGGACTCCCTTTACCTTTACTGCAGCTATCCTTTCCCACTGAGCATAGACACACCTGATGGCATAGTGAGGAATGTTTAATCCACAAACTTACGTGAAATGCCTTCCTCAGCTAGAGTCTAGCGTGCCAGGAACAGAGCAGGTGTTTGCTAGGTGCTCCTGAGCCTCAATAAGACTGAGCTGTTGGCCACTGAGCTGACGTTCGCCTGAGCAGCCGGCCAGCCACAGCAGCAACTGCTCTGCAGAATTCTTAGGTCAGTTACAGGCCAGTTAGAATCCTGACAACACCACAAATCATAACTCCAGGTACTGGTCATTTGGAACATCAGGAAAGTGGAAAATGGGAGGGAACTCAGTTCCCTTCTTTCCCAATGCAGAGTGTCTATTCCAGGACACTGCGCAGTTAAAACGCGTTCTTCCTGAAGTCAGATTCAGAGCAGTTCCAGCAGTAAAAATGGTGATACAGTATGTGCATCTCAGTACAGATTTGTTTGATGGGTCTGAATGCATTTCATAAAGGATCTCCATGTACAAGAAAGGCTAATAGAGTGAGGCCCTGAGCCATAAGAATTGCCTTGGCAAAATTATTGAAGACTCCTTACAAACCTATCCTTCTTCTTCCCCATCCCATCTTGTTTGGACGTTATAGTAAGGGAGAAGATCTTAGCTCTTTTCCTTTGCACTGGGACCACATGGAATTTGTGCCATGGGACCCCATCCCTCACACCAAATACAGGCAATACCATTTTCAGAACCTAGATGTCCATGATTTGTGTTGATGCTCCGAATGTGAGCTGCTCAGCTGCATGCAGTTTCCACTGAAGTGTATGTGTTTGTGTGTATGTGTGATTAACATTTGGCCAAGCAATGGGCCTAAATCCATCTACTTCACCTGAAATAACTTTGGGAGCCAGCCTTTAAAAATCTAGATATCAAATTCAGAGGAATTAAAAGCTGTCATCTTTTTGACTATTTTAAACATCTTAGAACATACACAAATGTTAATGTTTGAAGGAAGGCAGCAAAAGGAGCATTGGAGCCATCCATTCATTTCAGGAGTTGTGACCATTGATAAGATGAAGCACTTTCACATCGCATGGCAGTGTGCAGTGCTTTTAAAAAGGTAAAGGACCCCTGACAGTTAAGTCCAGTCACGGCTCTGGGGTTGCGCCACTCATTGGCTTTACTGGCCGAGGGAGCTGACGTTGGTCCGCAGACAATTTTTCCAGCAAAACCAGAGCAGCATAGAAATGCCGTTTACCTTCCCGCCGGAGCGGTACCTATTTATCTACTTGCACTTTGAAGTGGTTTTGAACTGCTAGGTTGGCAGGAGCAGGGACCAAGCAACGGGAGCTCACCCTGTCAAATACGCAAGAGAGAGGAGGTTTCATGCAAGTCAAGGTGTGCAATGGATCTTCAGGGCATTTGGAAGGAAGAAAAGGTTCAGGAACAAGCGACGCAGCAGCCCCCCAAGCGTAAAAACACATTTGAACATATCGTTCATGAGAGGCATTCGTCTTGCGGGGCATCACTGTATTTTATCTTAAGTAAATACACTGCATGCAAAAATCCTAACCCACTGCAAGAAAGTATCATTTAAAAATCAATAAATATTGGCACGACTTAGCCAAACACACACGCGTATTTACGCACCCGCACCCTACAAGCTATCTTTGGAGGAGTAGGGGGCGGGGGAGAGAAAGAAAACACACACAAAAATCGCCCAATTCCCACATCCTTATTTAGCAACTTGCAAAAGAAGAAAAGATCAAGAAGGTCTTACCTTGAAAAGGCAGCGGCTGGAACAGCGAGGTTATTCCGTGTTTGTCGCCTTTTGCCCTTGTTCTGCTCGCGTGGAAGCTGCGCCTCCCTTCTTTGGTTTCAGAGCAGCCTCCTTGCTCGGGCTCCCATCTGCAAGTTTCCTTTGACAAGCGACTGGCTGGGGCTCCTTGCCACCTCCTCCACCTCCTGCTGGGTCGCTCTGTGCCGAAGGCTGGAGAGACAAATCCTAGGACAGGGGTCTGCAACCTTTAAGACAAAAAGAGCCACTTGGACCTGTTTCCGAAGAAAAAACAACAACTGGGAGCCGCAAAACCATTGCGACAATTAAAACAAATATATCTCCAGAGCCGCGATCTGACAGCGGGCGGGAAGGTGACGTCGGAACAGTGCGTGAATAACGCACGCACCTCCCCCATGCGACGTCACAGCCAGTACAGCGCCCGCCACAGTGAGGAGTGTTGGGGCGCACAATGCACCTCCTCCCCTCGCTAGTATCCGCCCTGGAGCAAGGGTGTAAAAGAGCCACATGCGGCTCCGGAGCCGTGGGTTGCAGACCCCTGTCCTAGGATGACAAAATAGCAATCAGATGCAAATCCCTAAGCTGTGAATCAGGGCCCAGACACTGGAGAGGGTTGGGTCCCCAAGCGGACGTCGCCCAATTCCGCTCTGGGAAAGGAGAGAGAGAAAAGGGTTTTGCAATTTCATTTCCGTGCACAAGAGTGTAGTCCTCAAGATGAACCTTCTTTTGGGTTGTGGGAATGCGTTTAAAGCAAACGGGTGCACACGCACACCCCGGGAGCTACAGGTCCCAGCACCCTTAAACTACAGTTCCCAGCTCCCTTGGCACACTGTTGTTCCCAAAGCACCGAAGAAACTGCAGTTCCCTGACCCCTTGGCAGGCTTTGGTTTCCAGAACCCTGAGAAAACTGCAGTTCCCAGCACCTTTAACAATCTACAGTTCCCTGGTGGGGGCGCCTTAAATGTACGGTGCGGCTACCAGCATTGCAAAGCGAAGTTCACAGTCCTAAAAAGGAAGCTGGTTTAAGCAGTAATATAGGTCCCCAATTAAGGGCTGCTTTAAGCAGGAAGGTGGAGAGGGAGTGTGGCCTAGTGGTTAGACTGCCAGACTAGGATCTGGGAGGCACTGGGGTTCAAATCTTCTGCTTGGCTATAAAGCTCACTGGGTGACATTTTGGGTCCCAGCCACCGCTCTGCTTGCAGCCAGCAGGGCCAATGGTTAGGGGCGACCATGTCCCATCTTTTCTCCAGGCGGCCTACGTGCTTATCTCTGCCACCCTCCCAATGTCCCCGGGGGTGAGTTTCAGGGCTGAGCAGGGAGCAGAGGAGGGGCAAGGATTCGAAACCTCCAGTCCCAGTCCAGTGCTCTAACCACTAAACCACACTGCCCCCCATTGCAGTCTATAACAGCTGGAGGGCCACAGATGCCCCATATTCTCTGGCTCTGAGATTAGCCAAAGTTTCCTTTCTCTCCCTTGTTGTGCAAAAAGAAAAATGCCCATGAAAAAATGTGACATTTTTGGTTCTTTGGAGACAGTTCTGCCTCTCTCTCTCTCTCTCTCTCTCTCTCTCTCTCTCTCTCTCTCTCCATTCAAAGGAGCCTCATCCCTTTTCCCACCCAACTTCCTCCTGCACACAGCTTCAAGATTTCCATGAAGAACTAACTAACTAACCAACCCATAATTGGAATTTACGAGATTAAGGAGATAAATTATTTTTATATAATGAAAATAGATGGGTGGATAAGTTAATTGCGCAAGGCAAGAATATATAGGATGGCAAAAATCAAAAGAAACAAAGATTATGATTTGGGTTCTTAAAATAACAACAACACATGCCTGCCCAGTGGATTTCAGAACAATATGTCTCTCTCTTTTTAAATTACTCAAACACTGCAATGCAAGGAGTTGCAGTGACAATGCAGTGAGATTCTACTCAGAGTAAGCCTATTGGAATGAATGGGTTTGAATTAGTTGTGTCCTTTAGTTTTTGCTTTTTATCTGGATAATACCTAATTATTATCTAATAATTATTATCTAATAATACCTAATTGTAGGGACGCGGGTGGCGCTGTGGGTGAAACCTCAGCGCCTAGGACTTGCCGATCGCATGGTCGGCGGTTCGAATCCCCGCGGCGGGGTGCGCTCCCATCGTTCGGTCCCAGAGCCTGCCAACCTAGCAGTTCGAAAGCACCCCCGGGTGCAAGTAGATAAATAGGGACAGCTTACCAGCGGGAAGGTAAACGGTGTTCCGTGTGCTGCGCTGGCTCGCCAGATGCAGCATTGTCACGCTGGCCACGTGACCCGGAAGTGTCTGCCTGCTCCCGGCCTATAGAGTGAGATGAGCGCACAACCCTAGAGTCTGGCAAGACTGGCCCGAACGGGCAGGGGTACCTTTACCTTTTTTCTTTTTCTTTTTTTAATAAATTTTTATTAGTTTTCCAAACACAAAATAAAAACAAACAATAC